GCAAGGTGTACGGCAAGACGTCGCACCTGAAGGCACACCTGCGCTGGCACACGGGCGAGCGGCCCTTCGTGTGCAACTGGCTCTTCTGCGGCAAGAGCTTCACGCGCTCGGACGAGCTGCAGCGGCACCTGCGGACTCACACGGGCGAGAAGCGCTTCGCCTGCCCGGAGTGCGGCAAGCGCTTCATGCGCAGCGACCACCTCGCCAAACATGTCAAGACGCACCAGAATAAGAAGTTCAAAGTTGCTGAGGCCGGGGTCAAACGGGAAGACCCGCGGGACCTGTGAGCCCACGCCGGGGCAACTCGAGGCCTCTCCCGCCTCGGACTCCGGTCCCAGCACCTCTTCCGGGAGCTTCCGGGGCTCTGTGGGCACCTGGCCGAGGGAGGACCCAACAGGCACTTGCGTCTTCCTGCTGCCGGTCTCCCAAAGGCTCCCAGCTTCCCTGGCCCGGCCTGCGGACAGGGACCCTGTGCCCAGGAGAAGCAGGGGAGGTAGGGTTGGGAGCTCGGCGCCATGCAAGGGCGGTTTCAAGCTCTGAACCATTCCCACCGTCTGGGAGATCTACAGTTTTGGGGAACCACACTGGGCTGGCCTTGTATATAGGAAGCACTGCTGAATTAAAGCAGAAGGACCTTGGGAGATTTGAAATAGTGCTCAGTTTTGGGGGAGGGGGGTTGTTTTGTTTTGGTTTTTTTTGTTTTGTTTTGTTTTGGTTTTTTTGCTAGGACCAGGCCGGGCTTTGTACAGGTTATTTAAATAGCTTTGTTAAAGAATTATTATAATAATTATAACATTAATAAAAATGTTACTTTTGTCCTCAGCTCCATGAAGAGCTACAGCATGAAATGTCTCTGTAAAGCAATCAGCAGTTGCAGCCTGAAAATAAATACGTTAACTCCGGGGTCACCTCGGGACCCGGCTGAGCCAGTCTCATTTGATCTTTTCTTCTTGGGGAGGCTTTCTAAAGCGGTCAGGTTTCACCACGAAGACGGTTCCTGTAGGATGCCTGTATGGAGGTTTCTTTGGTTTGGAAGGGTCTGGGCAAGTGTGTTGGGTGCATGGACGGAGGAAGGAGGGCAGGGTCAGATTTGTGATAAAGAGGATAGATCATGCGGCCTTAGGACTTGAGCAGAGACTGTCGAGCATCTCTTAAAAGTTTGATACCTGCTGCACATACAGTGCACGTTCTTTTATCTGGCGAATTCCCTGTGGCTTTCCATTTGGTGGTACTGTAGGGACAGAGGTCACACTAGAGCTTTCCTTCCTCCTGGTAGCGGGTTATGCTGGTGTCTGGAGAGGAACTGTAGACCCAAGGATCTGTTCACAGATGAGATTTGGGAGAGTTACAGAGAAACGGGGGGGTGGGCGGGGGCTCCTTCAAGGTTGGTCTTTGCCGGGGAAGAGCCGTCACCTCAGCCCCGTTGTCTGGCTTGTTCTTAATCATCGCGCTGTGAAAATCTTGCTTCACAATAGCCGCTTAGGGATTTCTGGCCTGGCCTGGAAGTTTAGTTCCATTTTGTGTCTTGGGATTTTATTTTTTTTAATCATTGAAGTAGACCAATATTTGCTCAGGGAGGAGCCAGGAATACTCATATCTAGGTTTCTCGCCTGTCTCTAAAAAAGTTTACAGTAGTTTTTTCAAGTGTCTCGACTCAACTGGCTCCTTGATGTTTGCTAGTATTTGAGTTTTTAAACCTGAAACTGAAATCTTAATCTTCTGATTTAGAATTATCAAAGAAAGAAAATTATCAAAGAACATTTGTTAATATGTTAAGGTAGCATCATTAATGCCAGATTTCAGTGGAACTGAATAGTCTTTTCATGGTAGCCGAAGTGTATATAAATTGATAGGATTTCACAAACTGTTGTTACCTTTCCTTTTGTTTGAAGTCAAACCTAGTGGTAAGTTCTTAAGAGCTAGGAGGGTTGTGCTTGAGACTTACAGAATTAAGTAAAACACAAACATCAACATAACAGAGATGAAATTACTTTTATATTCCTAAGCAATAGCATTTTACTCTAACTTGAGACAAGGTAGTGAAAGAGAATTAGAGTCATTGTGGAGATATGCCTTAGAACCAGTTGCTCTCATTAGGGATTTTGGAACTATGAAATGACAGATTGGAATGTGAGTCCTCAGAGGTCTTTACCTGGGAAGGGCAGTTTGGTTAGCTAAATTTCCAAGGGTGTGATGGTTTTGCAAGCAATAGTAGTAAGAAAGTTGCTACACAGTTACACTAATATGCATCTAAGTGTGTAATCTTAATCTAAATCAAGATTCTTGAGAATCATTTCTATGAAGAGTTACAGAAACTCACATCTAAGCCATGCCCTGGGATGGACTTCAGAGCCAGGAAAGATTTGTTGGCAGATAGTAGGGAAAGAGAAATCCTGGTAGAGTGGAAAGACCCAAGGGCTTCTACTCAGAAAAGTTGAAGTGATTCTCTCATTCAAAAGAGAATGCCCTTGGTGGAAAAAGAAAAGTGGCAAGTTTGAAATGAGTCTGCTAGCTGTTATTGACAGCCATGATCTTCTAGTATCTAAACAGATAAAGTGTTGAAGATAAAGTTTCCCTGTAAGTTTATCTTTATGATTGTTAAGAGAAGAGCTAGATAAAATACATGGAATTTATCTAAAAATAGGATATATGTAATATTTAAAAGCAGAGCAGTCATTTGATGACAAAGTAACTTTCTTATGTTTTTGCTTAATTAAATCTGCAAACTTCTGTACGGTTTCTAGGCTAACTTGGTACAGCTGAAAGACTGTTCCTTGTGCCACTTCAAGTTTGTGTTCCAATTACTTTAGAACAAATTATCCAAGTGGAAGCCAGGAAGCCACAATGATATGATATTATTATCCAAGTGTAGGAAACCATTTCATGTTTATACTGAAAAATAAGCTAATAAATCAGAAATAGAAATTTGACAGTGCAGAAATGTATTAAATTTTATAAGCTGTTAAAATTTGAACTGCTACCGCATGCTGTTTCATAAAACTACAACTGATACCACTTAGAACTTTAAAAAGTATTTAAAATAAATGAATATGCCAGAAATAATATGTATAAGTGATGTATAATTAAGCAGTTAGCAGAAAATTCAATAAAATTCAAGTTAAAAGTTCAGAAACATTGCTATTAAATGTAAACTAAAATTTATTTTTTATTTAGAGTTTTGCTAACATCAAAAAAAGAAAGTTTAATCTACCAGCTATATTCAAGGCTTAAAGACCTGAACACCCAATTCAATTAAATTTTAAAAACTAATTGAAGAAAATATGTTAATGATGGTCTCAAGTACATTTTTAAAGTAACTTTTAGTAGCATGCAAAAATATAACAAAGTATCATATTTTAGAAAATTCTAAAATTAGTGTGATATGATTATTTTAAATTTAACCCTCAATTGATAAATGAACCATTTTGATCAAGAACTTAGAAACATGGAGAAATTGAGTTAGCAATTATTTAGGTAACTTGGAATTGTGTGTTCCTGAACTTGTTAACAATGCTCCATAGTTTTCTCAAGAGAAAATTGTGCAAATTTACCTTTAGCTGACCACTAATCTGTAATAGTTCTGGTGATGAGTGGAAGTAAATTATGTTAAAGAAAATACAACTGTATCATTTACTGTATTAGTGTAGTTTCAGTTAGAATTTGAATCTTATAACCATATTGTGTATATTGTTTTAAATTATTTTGCTATAAGTCAATCTAACAAGACATACCAATTTAGAAACTAATCTTGATGAGCATTCTTCTTGCAGAAACCTATTTGAAACAATGATATTTGTAGAAAAGGCGGGTTTTCACCCTGATTTGCACTGTTTCTGTTCTAATTCTGTGGGGTTTTAAGAAATCCATTTAACACTGCACCTTTAGTGTTTCCCATTTATTTGGGTTCTGCCATGAGAGTTTCACAGAATGTTATGATAGCGGTAGCAATAACTTCAAATTCATGTAAACACCTAGTAAGCTGTTTAGGGCTCTAAAATTGCAAACCACTTTTATTTGCCTTAGCTCTTCACATTAAATATTGATAAGTTGAAGTAAATTGACGATGTCTCACTGGGAAATAATCTCATGTTGTGAAATCAAATTCAACCCTCAAGCTCTGTTTTTCTAGTAAACGGAATGATGGTTTGCTAATATCCCAAATTGAGGGCTACTCAAAACAAGTAATATTAATGTTCTATCAGATATCATTACCTACCTCTGGTTTGCATGATAGAGGGGAACTTTAAGAGTACGAAACCAGGGGAAGCTTTGAAATATGGATATGTGCCGGCATAGTTTGACGCACCAGGAAAAAATAAGGAAAAAATCTAGATAGAAAGATGTATGATGAAAATGAAATCTATATTTAGATTAATACACCAAAAGGACACATTTCATTATTAGGCACCATAATGGTAACCTGATTGATGCGGTATCCAATATACATAAACAGTACACTTTTCTCTGGTGATGTTCAGACTCAACACATTTTTGCATAAAGATCTTTGTGTCAATTGCTCCTCCCTTGATTGTTTTTAAAGAATCTTCAGTGTTTCAAATTAGCTTATGGACATTGTAAAATGGCTTACATAATGTTCCTTACTATAACGAATAAGTTATACTGTTCAACAAAGATGTAATCAAATAGCTTATGGGCCATCACAACTTTTTTCAGTAGTTTCAGTTTTACTATTACAACTTACTACCAATTGTAGATTTGCATGTGATGATTGATATAGTATATATTTCCATGCTGACATTTTGATGACTTCCCTTCCTAGACTTTATATACTTTTCCTTCCATGCCTTTAGTGATTATGCTGAAGCATAATCCCCAGTGGGGTATTTGACACTTAATTCTTAATTTAGTCCATGCATGTGAACTGCAGTAGTTTCTGCACAACACATAATAAACCAGATTAACTAATATATTTTGGTTGTGTACCTAATACCAAAATTCAAGTCAGGGGAAATAAATCAAGTTCCTAGTTTGATATATGGAAAATCTGCAGCTTTCATTTTTCAAAAGTTGTTTCAGCGTTATGAAGATTCAGGCTGCCTATTTATGAAGTGGGAGGGTTTTTTACTTCAAAATTATTCATCTAATTTTTTTCATTGCTTGTCAAAATTCTAACATCAAAAAATATACTAAAATCACCCAAAGTCTAAGGCAGTAGCTACATGTTACCTGACTTTTTAATAAAAAGTTAAACCATTCAGTCATACGGGCGCTTTCTAATGGTTTTGTGTTTAGTGTATTCTAAAACACAGATGGAAAACATCTGGCCCTCAGCTTAATTTCATCCAATTCACAAGGCAAATATCAAAGCTGAATCCTCATTTATGCTTATGGTGGGGAAAATGTGTCCTAATTTAAAAAGTATTTGGTGACAATTTCCTAAAGTCTGCATAAGGTGTCATGAAAGCTTATTTCTCTTATTTCTATCTTTGTGAGTTTTATTCTTACGTTCTGTATTCTGTTTTCTTTTTCCATTCTGTATGCCTCTTGACTTGTGGAGGTCATGTGTCTTCTATAACCCATGTTCATCTCTAGCATGGAAATTCAGTTTGTGTCTTGTGTCTCTCTGTCTTTGCTGAAAGTATTTACGCACATTATCTGACTTTGCTGCCTATAATGCAGAACTTGACAGGATTCCAAACTGTAGTTCTTTTAAATCTGTTGTGTTTTTAATAGCCATTTACATTCCTTGGCCTAAATTTTACATGTAAGTGAATTAAACTTACAGTTCTATTTGTAGATTCACGTTTTATTTATGTAGTACATGTCTGATGTTTTTTACTGTGGCTTTGTGAACATCAGTGAGAAAAATATTTTCATCACAATTGAAAGTAAAATTGTAAAATATGATAGTGG